AAACCTTCTTCTCGGGTGATATACCCGCGTGCCCGAAGCTGTTTTGCAACTCTCTCTCCCTGAATATTTATATATACTTTCAATTTTTTGGGGTTTTAGGATGAGAAAACTTGTTTTTCTTGTGTTTTTTTAGACACTTGTCTCCCTGGTTATGTAATGGTTGGAAAGAATTGTACAGGTAAACAATCTGCCTCCACTTCTCAAGCTCTGCGATGGTTATAAATTTCCAAAGGGAATCTTTTAAGATTCAAATCTTCCAAAGAAGCTCATTTTAAGGACGCCTGTAAATTGATATATCCTAATGTGAACTGTTTTATTTTGATTGATTTGAACAGATCATTTGAAACATTTTTAAATCATTTGCTGCTTTAGACATTGACGAATGTTCGAATGTATCTGTTCAAGCATGTCACACAAATGCAAGTTGTAACAATATGAATGGTTCATACAACTGCACGTGCCTCTTTGGATATTCAGGAAATGGAAAGAACTGCACAGGTATACAAATTACCTATAGTAAAAATCACGCTTTTTATCGTTTAAATATGCTTTATACTTTCTGAGAAACTCACAATTTAGACATTGACGAATGTTCGAATGTATCTGTCCAAGTATGTCACACAAATGCAAGTTGTAAGAATATGAATGGTTCATACAACTGCACGTGTCTCTCTGGATATTCAGGAAATGGAAAGAACTGCACAGGTAAACAAATTACCTATAATAAATATCAGGGGGGCCAGAATATCGATAATAACGGGGGCAGATATTCGTATATTCGTGTTCTGCATTATTAACTTTTGAAATCGATTGTTTTTACGATCTGCGAACACGAATACATGAATATCTGCCCCCGTTATTATCGATATTCCGGCGCCCCAAATAAATATCAAGCTTTTTATCGTTTAAATATGCTTTATACTTTCTGAGAAACTCACAATTTTAGACATTGACGAATGTTCGAATATATCCGCCAAAGTATGTCACACAAATGCAAGTTGTATTAATACGAATGGTTCATACAACTGCACGTGTCTCTCTGGATATTCAGGAGATGGAAAAAATTGTACAGGTGTGTAAAATATTTAACGTCGATTTTATAGTTTCTAAGTATTCTATCCTATGTAGATTGTAATACTTTGCACCAAAATTGTCGCCCCGTTAGTACATTACATATACGAATATAGAAAATAATTATTTGTCGGATTATCATGACAATAATCGTCACTGAATCAAGTGGCAACCAGCATAAATATTCCAAATGTGTCTGAGTTGTTTATTAATTGTACGAGCTCGATCTAGAGCACAGAAAACAGAGCTCGTCATGACAAGGTACCTTCCAGACATTATGTTAATGAAACGAAGCGATAAAGAAATATTTGGTTTTTTTGGTACTGTGCATGTGATCAAGTTTGAACATTCCTCACAAACCTCATTCAAATCAAACCTTCCTCACGGGTGGTACCCGCGTACCCGAAGCTTTTTTTGCAACTCTGTGTACCTGAATATTCATATATTCTTTTTTGTTTGGGTTCTAGGATGAGAAAACTTGTTTTTCTTGTGTATTTTTAGACACTTGTCTCCCTGGTTATGCAATGGTTGGAAAGAATTGTACAGGTAAAAAATCTGTCTCCACTTTTCAAGCTCTTCGATAGCTATACATTTCCAAAGCGAATCTTTTAAGATTTATATCTTCCAATGAAATTTATTTCAAGGACGCCTGTCAATTAATATATCCTAATGTGAACTGTTTTAATTTCATTGATTTGAACTGATCATTTGAAACATTTATTAAATCATTTGCTCCTTTAGACATTGACGAATGCTCCAATGTATCTGCCAAAGTATGTCACTCAAAGGCAAATTGCAACAATACGAATGGTTCATACAACTGCACGTGTCTCTCTGGGTATTCAGGAAATGGAAAAAATTGTACAGGTGTGTAAAATATTTATCGTCGATTTTATAGTTTCTAACTTTCTATCCTATTTATATAATTATACAGACCCAGAAATGCATTTGTGTACGACCACAATCTCATTTTACGGAGAAGAACTTTCTAAACTTTTTAATTCTTTTCCTTACTTTCCCCCACGCTCTTAAATTTTAAAAGGCGACCTTACCTGATTAAAATGACTTTATAGATTGTAATACTTAGCACCAAAATTGTCGCCTCGTTACTCGTTAGTAAATTACATATAAAAAGATAGAAAATAATTATTCGTCTAGCTCTTAAAAATCTTTCTACATCACCAAGGTAATGTAGCCTCAAAGGTTTACAACTTGTATTTACTTACAATAGACAGCGGAAGATCGTTAAGCGGAGGTGGGGCTAAGATATTTTCGTTCCGCATTACGTATTCTCTTTTGAAATTTATTGCTTATAATATTAACTTTATTGGGGCATTGCGGTGTATTTTGCGGGTTAAATGATAAATTTGTCGTGCTGAGATATATTTTACCCCACTGATCTAAGCCAATCAGAAGAATGACTAAAGTGCGTCTAAAGTTACGAACGTCATCTCTATTGTTATGTTATCCCCGAGCGGGCGCGGAGCGTCTGCGAGGGGACTAACTCCGCTCGGAGATTAGAAATTACACACCTAACGTTCAGATTGGCTGAGACAGAAAGTTTTATTTCAATGAGAACGTCTGCAATTTAACTGTAATTTCATAAACTCTTTTGTAAAAGCGTTTCATAAACTTTGTGCAAAAAAAACGAGAAGAGACAAGATATAGCATGGCAGATGGCAAAGAAGAAAATGGATACATTAAACACAAAGATTAATTTTTAGCTTTATATAAATTTCAGCTTTTTATGCAAAGGCATAAATCAACTGTGAAAGGCTATCACACTTTTGCTTTAACTTTAAAAAGTGTTTTTGAAACTATGATTCGGTATCCTAAATGTACGCTAAGTTATTCAATAAAATTAATATAAAACTTTTAGCCGTCGACTGCATAACAGAAATAAATAGCCTAACATTTGCGGTTTTTTCTTTTTCTCGGAAGATTTTGCACTGTTTAATCGTTTAAAGTTTCAATTTTAAACGATTACTTATTTGCTGCCATTGCGTAATGCAGCGAATTCGAATAGCCAATGTTTACACTACTCACTACTCTTTATGATTATATTTGTATCGAATGATGGAAATATAAAATATTATAATAAGACTAATTTGAGTTTTGTGTCATTTCATAAGATAAGTCAGGTTAGGTCAGGAAATTGTGTACTTGGTTGGTTTGAAATAACGAGGGTTGCTGCATGCATGTATTTCTTGTTTCCTTTTAAAATGATCCGTTCTATGGTCGGTCGACAGTTTTGCTAAGGAGTGAATAGTGATAATTAGAGTAAATTAATACACTTTTTGAAAGTTTTGTATAATTAAGGGAAAAAAAATGAAATTTTAATAATATTAATGAAATTAAAATGAAATTACAAAAATCAGGGTGCCCATATCTCCGCAGAGAAGGCCCGTATAAAAGCACATTAACAATACAATATAGAATTAGATATTATACAACGTGAAATAATAGTTTATCTACAAATTACGCATAATATTCCAAATATATTTCCACAAAAAAAGTCAAAACGCCAAGAATCTTATCGCGTAATAATTATAGGTCGTTCGACCAATCAGAGACCAGAATTTTAATAATTATCTTTGTAATTATTAAATTAATAGTTAATTGCGCAAGAATAAACAGTCAATGTACAATGTCATTTTACAAAATAATGTTATTGAAGAGCGAACAAAACTTATCAAATAATATATTATATCGATAATTTCAGATATAGACGAGTGTTCAGCGGCATCCCACAAATGCCACTCCAAGGCAAACTGTAGCAACACTGATGGCTCCTATGACTGTATGACTGTTAATGATTTTAAAGCAAATATAGATTCCAGAGTTACAGCGTTGATGGCTAAACTTCAAGAGCAGAATCGAATTATCAATGATAATAAACAAAACTTATGCAAATTGACGAATGAAAATTTGAATTTGAAAGCACGTTTGTCCGAACTAGAAGGAGAAATGAGAACTCAACACCAATCCACAACAACGATGAAGGGAAGTAAATGCAAGCTTACTCCTACAATCAGAAATGAAAGTCAACATCAGCTCAGTTCTAACTCACTAGAGTTAGGCGTGGGCGATTATTCTCCTGGAATAACCTACACGATGGTTACAGCTACACCACCAACTACATTACCAGCTACTATCACACATCAGTGCCAGAAACAGTTCACCCCAGCTCGAATATCAAACCATTTGCCAGCGTCAGATTTAGGTATTTATCGTCCTAGAACAACTCACAGGGAGGCTACACTACCAACTACACGGCCAATTACTCCTGGAATAATTCACACGACGGTTACAGCTTTACCATCAGCTACATTACCTGCTGCTATCACACATCAGGGCCAGAATCAGTACGCCCCAGCTGTCAAACTACCTGTGCCTCGTTCGCGTCGTAACAAGAAAGCCGCCCTTTCTGCTGACTTAAATTCTGATAACAAATGTATTCCTGTTCGTATCACCTCACGCCGAAAACCTCAAAAGCGACGATATTATCAGCAAGCCAATAAGCCTAATTTTTCGAATATACGAGTTACATCAAGTAAAGCGGTAAACCAGTCTCCTTTTCGGGGGAGTTTCTGGAAGGATCGTCCTTCAAGGATAAAACGGCCGAAGTTGGGGAATTCGAAAGACTGGTTAAGCTACCTAGACTTTGTTCGCGATCTAATGAGAAATTAACTTTTTCCGATGATGTAAATAATGAATATTCCAATTATAATCGGACATCTCATATAAGTCGACCGATACCAGTTAGAATTACCAGACGCAAGTCAGTTTATAATGATACATTTCCTTCATCCAGTCAGAGCCACAGAAAAAACTATTCACTAAACCTACAAAACCTTTTATCTATAAAACCTAAAAGGAATGTTGCTGTTTCGCGATATTTTGTTCCCTCGGTCCTTTTATCCAACACTATGTCCTTATCACCTAAGATTGATGAAATTGCCCACACGTTAAATTCTATTAGCGCTGATATTGCTCTCTTTACCGAAACCTGGTTGCAGGAAACCGTTCCTGATGACGCAATTAATATTGAAGGATATCAACTGTTTAGGAGAGACCGTGCAAATAGAATTCATGGGGGTGTGTGTATGTATGTCAAAGAATCAATTCACTGTAAAATCTTATCTGACTTTTATCATACAGATCATGAAGTTTTGTGGGCATATCTTAGACCAAGGCGACTACCTCGTGGTTTCTCAAATATTATAATAGCGGTGGTGTACCAACCTCTAACTGCGAACGATGTAGAAATGAAAGAATATCTTATACAATCCCTTGAACGTTTAGAAGTTGAATATTCAAATTGTGCTGTCTTCCTAGCTGGCGATTTCAACAAAACCCTTCTTCCCTTGGTTAAATCTGCTGTAAAAAACTTCCAACTCAAGCCCATGGTTAAACAACCTACAAGAGGGGACAATATTTTGGACCAAATTTTTACAAATTGTAAAGAGTACTTATCAGATTCTGTCCGAATTTTACCACCCTTTGGTTACTCCGATCACCGAACAGTATTTATTGAGGCAAAAATTCGACCTAAACCTTCAAAGCCACGAAATAGAATAGTTGTGTATAGAGACAAACGGCCTACCAAGGTAGCAAGCGTTGGTAGATTTCTACAACAGGTTCCTTGGCTTGAGTTACTCTCTAATTATCAAACATGTGAAGAAAAGCTCAAGCTATTGACTGAAATCATAAACTATGGACTAAATACTATCATGCCTGAGCAATGTATCAAAATGCATGAAAATGATCGACCCTGGCTGAACACTCAGTTAAAAAAAATGATAAATAGCCGTCAAAAAGCTTTCTCTTCTGGAAATAGAATCCTATATAAAATGCTGAGAAATAAAGTTAATCGGGAATGTAAACATTGTAGGAAAACCTATTATGAAAGCAAAATTGGTCAAATGAAGGACTCTACGCCCAGAGATTGGTGGAGAGAGGTCAAAAATCTTTGTGGTATTAATAAAAACACTCGTCGTGACCTAAGATCCCTTTTACACCCTGATCTTGTGTGTGATGATCTTACTCTTACGAATAACATAAACAAAGCGTTTATCAGCGTAATGAATGATTACTCGCCTTTGACAGATTATACATGCGTGGATCCGGTTGATGATGAACCTTTGTATGTTACCGAAGAATCTGTGGCAAGGAAACTAAGAGCGATTAAGATATCTCGCGCCAGTGGACCTGATAACCTTCCAAATTGGGTGCTCAAAACGTTCTCGGACATTATCGCAAGTCCTATTACTGACATATTGAACACCTCATTTACCGAATGTAGAGTGCCTAATGCTTGGAAACTCGCAGATGTTTGTCCTCTGCCAAAGTCGTCCCTCATTTGTGATTTTAACAACGACATCAGACCAATTTCTCTTACGTCGACTCTGTCGAAAGTTGCGGAAAGCTTCGTGATTGATATGGCTTTAAAACCGGTTATGTTGTCCATTGTTGATCCACGACAGTTTGGATTTATCCCAGGTTCATCGACAACTATGGCACTAATCGATATGTTTCATCATTGGTTATCTGCCACTGATGGGACATCGTCCACAATAAGAACTGTTCTCTTAGACTTTCGGAAAGCCTTTGACTTAGTAGACCATCATATATTGATCGCTAAACTATTCAGCATAGGAGTAAAGCCAATCATCGTTAATTGGATTATTGATTTCTTACGTCATCGGCAGCAGAGGGTTAAATATGATGGTACTTTTTCTAACTGGGTTGATGTCCATGCAGGAGTTCCCCAGGGTACTCGTCTTGGTCCATGGCTCTTTCTTATTCTAATTAATGATCTACGATTACCAGATCAGATCTCCCAAATGTGGAAGTTCGCTGACGATATCACATTATCCGAAGTGATAACACAATCTAATGAAAGTTCCATTCAGGACGCTGTTGATTATGTTAACTTGTGGTCTAAAGAGAACCATCTACAACTCAAACCAACCAAATGTAAAGAAATCCAATCATGTTTTAAGAGAATCCCTCCATCTTTGTTCCAATTGAGATAGATGGGATAAAATTTGATAAAGTTAGTGCTGCAAGACTTCTCGGTGTTACTATTCGTGACGATTTTAAGTGGATAGATCATGTTAAAACCATAACTGCTAAGGCCTCAAAGCGCCTATATCTCTTAAGACAACTTAAAAGAGCAGGACTCAGTGTTGATGATATGAAAGCCTTTTATTGTAGTGTTGTCCGATCAGTACTGGAATATTGCTGTCAATTGTTTCATAGAAATCTTCCCTACCTCTCGAATGATCTTGAACGCATTCAGAAGCGTGCATTGCGGATTATTTTCCCTCATCAAAGTTATGATGAAGCACTGAAAGAGGCATCTATTCCCACCCTCTTTGACAGGCGAGAAATGCTATCACGAAGTCTTTTTAAAGATATTGTTGTCAATGGAAACCATCAACTTGCTGGTTTACTTCCCCCTCGTAATAGCTGTAATGGTTTTCTGAGAAATAATAGAACTTTTAACACGCCACAATGCCGAACAGATCGTTTCAAAAACTCTTTTATAATGAGTTTTAGTACTGAAGCAAATTTTGCTAATTGATAACAAGTTGTATATATGTATTGTTTCCAATTTTAAATGATTGTATATATTTATTCTAAAGAACACATAATTGTGACTTTGACTTAAAAGGACTAAAAAGTTGTAAATATATATTGTTTCTTATTTCATTATGTATTTTAAATTATCGTATATATTTTTATGTAAAAGACACATAATTCAGTCTTATGACTGCCAGTGTCCTTTTTTCTAATAAATCTCTAAATCTCAATGTCCCAGCGGATTTTTTTATAATGGAACAGAATGTTTAGGCAAGTAATAGAAAATACAGACATTCTCACAATGCATTCCATGTTAAGGCAGGGCATTGGTTTTGCTAATAAAAATCCTTCAATATTATATTATAGCCCATGAATTGGATTCAGTCATAATGGCCGCCCAGTCACCAAAATTTACAAAACTTTTGGCAGAATGGCTGCCGAGGACAGGAAATTGGAGTGTCTGCTGGCGGACTACAAGAGACGGCAATAAAACTGAAATATTTCATGATAGATGCAACTCAAAAGTCCCGACATTGACAATTGTAAAAGTTTTAAAAGATAACAAGACTTTTATCTTTGGAGGATTCACGACAGCTACATGGGCACCTCCCTTAAAGTACTATCGGTCTGCTCCAGGTTCCTTTTTGTTTTCATTTCGCAATAACGATAATCTCCCGCCTTTCAAGTTGCCTCTGAAAGATCCGAACAGCAGAGATGCAATTCTAGCAAGAAAGGACTCTGGGCCTACATTTGGGCATGGACCTGATCTTAGCATTTTTGACAAAAATGTTAATTTCAAAACATACGAAAGCTACGCAAATCCAGGTTATATATATCAAGTTCCGCCTGGATATACCGCGGGAGAAAACAAAACACGAGCCCTCCTTGCTGGCAGTCTGATTTTTACTCCAGCAGAAGTGGAAGTGTTATATTTAAACTGAATGTTATTTGTAAGTGCACGCTTAACACGATTGCAAATCTTCAAGACAGACGTCGCAATATAAGAACGAGCAGATATAGACCGTTAAATGAACATATAATAATAAGGGGTTTTTAAGAGGTAATTTCGGAAAGCCCCGTTTTGACATTCGAAAATTATATCAAGGCTTTTCGGTGTACCATATAATATATTGTACCAGTATAACAAGCTATGAAGGCCCGTTTACACTTTTTGCTGTGATTTCATGCATGTGCGATTTTCTTCTTTCGATGTGAACGAGTGAATTAGTTACGAACGTTGAAATAAGAGCTCTCATTCATCAAATCATTTGTAGCTGCTCACTCGTTCACATCTACTAAAAGATAAAATCGCACATAAAATTTCGAGTGTAAACGGGCAGGTATATAGCGATATAAAGTTTATAGTCGTGAACAACGATGCCTCTATATCATGAACATATTTCACGAACATATAAATAATTGTTTGATAACAACCAGGTGATCTCGCGCTTATGTTTTAGCCATGTGCACTCAGCGCTTAGAAATAGTGTGGAAATAGAAATCAATTCATGAGTATTTAATTTATTGGTTATATTTTTTATTATTCTTTCCAAATTTTGTGATTAGGTTTAGTTATAAGAACTCTAGCTCTGAAATAAATTGTAAACTGAAATAAAGTATATTTCGAGAGATATGAAAAATGGGTTTACATTTGACAAATAATCCAATTATTTTCCCGCTATTTCAGATCACATGGAAAAAATAAGAAGAGTACTGTTTGTAAATAATGATTTAGCGTTAAAATACATTTTGCACGAGATTATTCTGAAGGAGGTTTCTACTTATCGTTTAATATTGAATCTCCGATACATGCACTGAATGTATGTAGTTAAGAAATCGCACAAGAGTGATCCTATAAACCTACGTGCTTGCACTGTAGTTTGGAATAAAAAAAATAAATGCACTTACATAGACAAATAATTTATTATTAATGCTGCATTGGTGTGACTTTTGTTACTGATCTATATGACCGAAAATTCCTTTCCTATGAGTGAAAATTTACAGAAAATCAAATTACAACATTATTCAAATATCTCACTCAATGCATAAGTTTATGATTTACCTTTGAGTGTGAGCTTTAAAAATAAGGCGATAGTCGACAATTTGCATTATATAGTTAGACCACGGTTAGACATAGAAATTATAATTGGGCGACCCGTGATCGCGTGTTTTTGCAAAATGAATATTTCGCCGTGCAAAAATGAAAATGTAAGCTGTTAAAACTATCCGAATCGAAATGTTCGTATGAATGTGAGCGATTTTATTTTTCAATTTCCCGGTTTGCAGAAATACCCAATTTAAACGATTTGGTTATCAAAACGTTTCTAAACAGCGGCTCTATCGAACTAGAGGTCGGCACACAGTGCTTGAAGACTGTGGATCACACGAATTTACGCTAATTTCAAAATTATTACTCGATTTATCCAGTTTATAGTAAAAGTCTAAGTGCACAAGCGAAAACCATTTTCTCGCTATTTTTTGGTAAAGGTACAGGTAAATATATTGTCAGGTCTCTTTAACCAACTGTTAACTCGCGATAGCTAATTGCGTTTAACGAATATAATACACTCTAAATATATTTTTTTTTACATATTAACTGCATTAAACAACTAAGTTTCCTATTTTAATTGACACCGTCATTTGAATGAATACGGTTATTTTAGTCAACGTGATTAGTTCAGCATTTCAAATCCTTGTTTGTGCCTGAGATGGAATTCCAAATACATGGTTAAATGCATAAGATTTCAGATTTTCATGTTTACTTACCGTAGGAACAATCGTTTTAAAAAAATCGGGCAAAGGCCGAATACTGAATATGCATTCAGCCACCAACCCCCCTCCCCGCACCAGTTATGTTTCTACCTGTCTCCCTGAACAATCTCCACACCTTCTCAACGCAGTAGCCAACAGCCTGACGATTCAGTCCGGTAATGCAGATTTTAAAATGTTGCAATAAATCATTCTTAAAAATTATTAGTGCATAAGATAAAGAGTATGTGCATGCAGACGTGAACGTCTTCGAGTGTTTTCTTTTTCGTTTTCATGCCAAAACGGTTTGAAATACCGTCAATTTACCATAAGAGTTGAAGTTAATTTTAATAATTTAACATTGAGCATATTTTTCCTTTGATCGTGTGGACAAGGCCTCAAAGCGATAAACGATTCTAAAAACGTACGCTTGAAAACGACGCTCGTGTGCACATAGCCTAAATCATCAGGCAACTACACTCTGAAACTCTTCATGGCACTTGGATTAAGGAAGCAATTCTTTGAGAACACGAACTTAGTTTTGAAATATTACTTATAATGCCCATGCAACATTTTGATGCTGTCTGTGTGTAATTGGTTTGAAATAGCGAGGGGTTGCTCTTATGGGGTATGTTATTGTTATATATAGTTTTTTATTTTCTACGCGAGGTAGGAGATCTTTTACAATTGTTAACTAATGTTCATTAATGTTCAGCTTCTTTTCTGGATTCTCTACTCTTCACTTGATCTTCTGATCTTTGTCGTTTTTGAGTTCTTGTCTTGGTTGTGTGTCCTGTAAGGTTGAGCTTTCTAACGTTTCACATGCTTTTTACTCCGCTAGTCCACTGAAGGTTGGGGTGTTGTGCACGCCCTTTTATAGTAACGGTTGAGGAAAACTTGCAGACGTCATTAACCAGAGTGGCTGATTCTTATCCAACCAATCAGCGTTGTAAGTTAGAAATGTGAGTTGGTTTTAGAAGCTCGTTCCAGCTCTCATATCTTGTTTGTTTAAGGCGTTGTCGCACTAGTCGAGTTGCATGGTCTTCTGCTCAATCGATCAATACTTAAAAATGTTTACAACTTAAAATGTTTATCATCAACAACTAGTAAAATTTACAAACAATACGTCTGTGAACAATATCTTTCACTTAACTATTTTCACTTTTTTTATCGAATTGAACTTTTGATGACGTAATCTATTACATGCTTGACCGAGCAACATTTTTAACACAATTGATTGACATAAGAACTTGAATGGCCTACAGCACGCACATTTTTTATAAAAATGCAACCATTAAAATAAGTGAAGACTTAAGACTGTTTATCCAGGTATTAGTTCTGAGATGATTATAAATATTTTCACCTTATTACTTATTTAATCCCACGATATGTCATACATGAAAGGGAAAGGCGATTAATGTTTGCTAATGGCCGAAAAATATACTTACTCAGGCGTCTTGTGGCAAAAATCTTTCACTAATCCCTGTCATGCTATTGATATTCCTATTTTTACAGCTATTTTTATATGCTATCTCCAAACACATAAAGCTTTGCGTAACATTATTACCGTTTTGTTGGGACTGGTCAAAAAAATATTTCCCTGGGTCTCAAAAAAAATATATAGGGCAAATATATAGGATAAAGCTGTTCGCAAACCTACTTTCTTCGTCCTATATTTTGGAATTAAAAGACGATTATCATTCCGTAAAGAATATCCTGTACTGTGTCAATGGAGAATAAGGTGATAAAATTTATGGGTTGTTTCGTGACACATTGTAACGTATTTGTTTAACATTTTAAGAGTTTGTCGCAGATTGTCTTTCTCAGCGAGGGCAGTAACACCATATTGGCAAATACAAACGCATCTTGTACTTGAGGTCAGGAAAAATTATACGAAATGCTCTAGGTTCAATGGCTTCAATTTCATCGCTCAAATATTGTGCCAAGTTGTAATGCCATACCTCGCACGAAAATGCAGGTAGCTAACGTATACTCGGAATAATAACGGAGGATCTCTTGAGTAATCGTAATATAATCTCTTCGAAGCTTTCTTGCAAATATAATTGATGTACGCGATCTATTTAAGGCCGTTTAAGATCATAACGCCGAGTAATTTAGCATTTAGCGGAACGACCGCTATTTCCTGACCGCCAATGGTGATCGGTGGAATGGCCCAAGGGTCAAGAGAAGAAAACCCAATACAAATTTATTTGGTTTTCTTGGGATTCAATTTCATGTTATTCTTAGAAGCCCATTTGATAGTTTCCGTAGATTGAGACGGTAAGGCGGAATTGGATTCTTGACTTTCCAGATGATCTCCCATATGGTGGTGTCGATCGACAACAAATTTCACCGTACAAACACAAACATTCAAGTCGTTCACATGACGAGAGAAGGGAGCCTAGGGGGCTTACCGCTACTGTCAAATTTTACACGTTTCAACGGTGGATATTTATCAACAACACCACCGACAAGAGAAGAGAAGTATTGGAACTGTTCGTCACAAGAGCCCAAGCGATACATTGGAGACCAGTTGACGTTCGATAAGGCGTTGCTAATTAACCTCTGATTAGAAGGACGCGCATCTCTAATCGTTCGGAAGGAAGGTGCCGCAAGTTCCTACTGCCCATCAGTGGATTGAGTAAAACTGAGCTGTGGTCTGACAAAACGAGGAGGGGGAGGGGGACAATTTCAGAAACGTCATAAAATTTTGAAATGTTTTTTATTATTATTTTTACCTAGAATCTTGGATCCCCTAGCGGCATTCTTTACGATCTGTTTTAACGAAAACGATTTACAGAGTTGGCGGTGTTTAAATTGATCGAAATCGCCACTTAGAATGATAGCGCCAAGAGGCTCCGTAAGATAAGACAGCATGGTTTTTTTATGTTGATCGAAATAGATATCCTATAATATAGTTTGATTTACGCAAAACGTAAACCCACTGTGAAGGAAGTTAGGGACTTTATTTATACTTATACTTTTATTTGACTTTCTTGGCAAGAAATTAATTAGTACAATGATCCCAATGAATGCTGGAGGATATGGAAAACTCTCTTTAGTGAGATTTTAGAAATACATGCGCGGATCCGACAGACAATGATATGTAAGAAGGCGAGTGAAAGATTTAGAATTTCAAATACTTTTAAAATTTTAAAATATTTTGACATACACCAAGGTAAATTTTTAAAAT